GTTGAGTTGTAATCACAAGCTTAACCACAGTGGAAAGAATGATACGGAAACTTTTAAACCATGCTTGAGGAGCTTGTTTAACAACTAGTCTCTACTTATAAACTACTCCATTCGGATTAGAGACATGGTGGGGTTCGTCCTTGAATTTGAATGATTGTCTAGGCTAAGCTCGGCCCATATTTTTACACAGGCCAGTTCAAATTCAAGAAGAGTCTCATGGCAGGACAACCTGCCCATTTTGACCCCTCTAATACATAAACATCACATACCTATATGTTGTATATATCTTGCCTTCAGATATAAAATCGTGCTGATAAAGATTATACAGGAAGAGGAATGCACATATGACCGAATAGGCTTTCCAGAATAAGCATCAAATTTCAGAAGTGGTCTGCAACTAATCCGACTAACATATATGCATTGCATTCATTTAACAATTTTTTTTTCTTCTCGCACAAAATAGCATGTTGATAGCTGCTACTAATTCTCAAGTCTTCATCTTTATCTTCAAAGCATGGCTCATGTTGACATCTACATCTGCATCAGCATCAGCATCAGCATCATTGTTCATAATACTGATATCACCATCATCTACATTCTTGGGGACCCTATTAAGTTGTACAACCTGATTGGCTTCAAAATTTTCTTCTGTTTTTGCTAGAGAGATTTTTTTCTGATCATGAGTCCAACTAGATACGTCATTGAACCAAACCAGTAATTATCAAGTCTTCATCTTTATCTTCAAATGCATGGCTCATGTCTACATCTACATCTGCGTCAGCATCAGCATCATCATTCATACTACACATGTCACCAACATCTACATTGTTCGGGACCCTATTAAGTTGTACAAGCTGATTGGCTTCAAATTTTTCTTCAGCTGTTTTTGCTAGAGACAGGAGAATATTCTTTGCTTTCTGATCAGGAGGATTCCCACTAGATACCATTTCATTGAACCAAATCACGGCGCAGGAGAAATCCTCGTTCCTACCAAAAGCATCCATGATAGTAGTGAGGATCATCTGGTTCGGTTTGATACCTTGAACCCGCATGTTGTTGTATTTCTCCATCATTTTCTCCAGGTTATTTGTTTTTGCATAACCTTTTATCAAAGTTCCATAAGTCACGAGATTGGGTTCAAATCCATCTTGTTTTATTCTTCTGAAAAATTTCTCAGCCCCGTCCATATCAGAGGAATTAACATAAGTCAATAACATAGTCGTATATGAGCATAGATCAGGGGTACATCTGCACAATTCAACACAACAAATAATTAGTTCCAATTTTGAGCTCACTGAATAACAATTAAATACGATAGATTCCAACTTTTTTGGCAAATAACACTTATCCCATCCATAATGTATTCGTCGTGCAAGGCCATGTGCAAATTTTGGCTATCAATTATCTCTACAGCATGGTTTGATGGTTGAAAACAAACGACTAATCATTCTTTAAATCCATATAATAAAGCCGAAATGTCACCAATTAAAATACATGGCAACAAGAAGAGCAAGACGTATCCTCATGATCAAATCAGCATCTTAACAATTTGTTTCGAGGTACGTAAGCTATACAATAAGAGGCAACAGGGGGGAGAGACTAATCTCTTTTTGCATTGACAAGAAGGATGGGTTCACTGGATTAAATCTGGGGCAACACGTACTGTTTCATTCTACTTGAATGTTGTGACTCCTCTTTTGCAATTATGATTACACAATTGTTCGGGAAGGAAACCCTTACTCTCTTCTTCATCACTTTTCAAACCGGTTAGACTTTCAAGCTGATATTTCAGTATATTTTAGGGCCATTTTCCTTGACTACATCTCAGAAGGTTACTTATAATTTCATGTTGAAGAGAAGATCATATCTATAAACTGAAGAAATCGATCCACCTTAAACAACTATGACCATTTAACATCGGTTATCATCACATATAGTAGATCAAAAAAGAGTATATGGAATGTCCTAGTAACAGCAAAAATCAGGACAATGGTAGAGTTAGTACAGTGGATCTTGTTGTCTCGAAGAGGGATTTTATCATGCATCCAGGTTTGATTATCAAAGAGAAATCGAAGAGATTGTAATGAATAAGATAGAGCGTATTGTATGAAATGGAGAAATACTATATGAGGTCCACGTAAAAAGTGATTTTTCTAGAGACACATGGTGAGAATACAAATGCACTATAACAAAATTTACACCCTACAGATATTTGAAACTTGATGCATTCATATGCTTAGATTTCTCTATTCATAACATGTAGAGTTCCACACTCTATCGTGATTCACTCTGTCTTGTGAATGGTTATTATACTTCAAATAAGAAAATTATTTGTACTCTAATACATTAAAAAACATTGACTTCCAAATATAGCCCTTGTTTGACACCCGTTTTATGGAAGAATTTGATTTGGAATAGTGATTGATGGAAGAATGTGTGGTTAAAAAGTAAGAAGAATTTTTTGGTTTATGTATAATATTATTTTATTGATAGAATGTGTGGTTAAAATGAAGAAAGAGAAAAAAATGAGAAAGTGAATGAGAAAAAAATATATGTCAAACAAGGGCATAATAGATTTTCATGCAAAAGTTCAACGGTTTATTGTATAGGGGCATTTAGCACTGGCCATCTTACGTATATTATTTAGACCAGGAAAAATTGAGCAACTAATACATATTCTCATGGAAGAAGAAATTTAGGGTGTGTTTGTCTCCCATTATTGGGAGAAAAATAGAGTAATGAATAGTATTTCTTGAAAAATGTGTGGTTGAAAAGTAAAGTAACTTTATTGGTTTGTATGAAGTTGGAGAATCTTATTGTAGCAAACAATTTTTTAGAATAATGGTAGACAAATACGGGCTTAATGTAACTCAAATATAAGTAAAACTGTGTTGCAGACATTTTCGTAATGTTGAAAAAGACTTGATAATGTGCAATCACTACTAGACCTAGACGACAATAAATATAAAAAATATAAGAGTCTGAAAGAAGGGAATTCCTCAATCTTTTAATAATTTTTTGAGATTAGGCTGGAATATGGGGAAAGTAGGACCTCTATGATTAATATTTTAGCTAATTAAAAAAGTCACCTGTCTCTTCGCATGCTCTTGAAGACAATTTGAGCTTGCTCTACCATTCCAGAGATTGCAAAGGCATCAAGTAAGATATTATATGCTTTCTGTGTTGGCCTGGAAGGAAACAACATGCAGTTTTTAAGTCATGGTGAAAATAGTTTGAAAACTCGAAAAGGTGACCTAGAAAAGTACATAATATTCATCTCGTTGAATGATTTGCAGTCCAATTTATAAATTATCACTGAGGAAAACGTATTTGTCCATTGAATTACCACTTCAAAAAAATTTGGCAACGAATTAATGTTTCCAGTTGAAGAAACATCTGGTTAGGGCAAGAATGAATATTTTGCAGCTAATTGTGGACATAAGAGACTCAGAAGACAATAGTTTCAAACAACAAAAAATTGAGACTTATTTCCTACTAATATACTTTTGTCAAAGACAGAAATATTGTAAGCAAAAATCAGAGTTGTAGTTGAGGCAAAAATCCTGACATCGAACTTCTCTTCACTAGGTTTACTTGTAAAATTTACCACAAAATAACTAAAATTAGGAAAGACGTAATAAAGACATGCCAAACATTAGCAGTGCATCTAACAGCGGCCAATTCGTTCAATGTGCATAGACAAAAAGCTACAAGTAAAATGATCAAAGTGCAATGTTGTACAGTGTAAAAGCCTTTCAATAAGTTGAGTTCCTGAAGTTAGAGAGTGGACCCTTATTTTAATCTTATTTCAATCTCAAATTTTAAAACCATAATATAATACTGCAAGAATATTAAGGAATCAGACCTGACACCGGCATCAAGCATCTCCTCAAATAGAGCTAATGCCTCTTCTTCTCTTCTAGCTTTACCATAAGCATTGATGAGCAGTGCATAACTCACTACATCAGGCCGAATACCAGCTCTTTGCATCTAAAATTATAAATGTATTTCAAAATTCTAATGAATTCATTATAAGAGTTAAGCAGCAAAAAGTCAAGAACTGAAACCTAAATAATTCAGGTGCAATCTACACAAAAGAAAAAAAAATGCCAGATAATGTTTTGTTCAATTCTACAGAAAAATTACCTGAGTATCAACATCAATGCTAAGACAGAAAAAATAGTAAATTCGGGATAAGAATACTTATGAGATGGGTAAAATGCATAGAGGATGTCCAAAGAAACTTTATACAGATAATTAGTAAATCGAGGTACAGCAGCAAACTTACAAAAAATTATAAAAAATAACTATCAACAGTAAAATATAAAGTATGTAGAAATTTGAATACCTGGTCATAGATTTTTGCAACCTCCTTGTAATTGGTTTCAAAGGACATCAAGCTATTATATGTGACTGTAGTTTGCTGAATTCCTCTCTCAGGCATCAAGACAAATAGTTTACGAGCTTTGTCATAGCTTCCTGCTTTTTTGTACATATAAATCATCATGTGGAACATTCTCTGGTCTGGTTTTAGAGGCGAAGTTTGCTTATCTAGAAGGGTTTCAAAAATTTCTTCAGCTTCTTTATATCTGTTTCCCTGCAGTAGTCTCATTTTGCAAAATGAAGTTCACTCAATATTTCAGTAATAAATGGGAAAAATAAAGAACACATTGCATGGAAGAGAGGAGATGCGTGATTCCAAAAAACCTCTCCAATTCCTTTTTTATGGTAAACAAAACAGTATATATTCTTATTGCTTTGTAATGATGTAAAGAAATCATGAAACTAACAATAATATATGTTCTAACCCAGTTCCAAATGCTACAACAGAAAATAACTGTGCTGAGTCATTAGAAAATTGGGCCGCACTTGGAACCCCACTTCTTGTTTCCTATACAATACAGACTATACATGCAGGGAGATAGACCTCAAATTTTCTTGATGTAGTCACCTGAATATATTTCGGAATGAAGTTCATTTATTTAACAATTTTGCAAGGTTCATGTTCTTACCATGTTCATTAAAGCATGAAAGAAAAAAAACAACACCTTAAGGGATCAATAAATCTTCTAACCTCCAACTATGGTTGATCTTTAAATCAATCATTTATTTAAAATCTGTTGATCATGCCTCGACAGCATATTGCAAAGGACCTTATATCAAAAGATGATCGAGCTCATAGCAACTAGTGTGGGTCCATAAAAGTGTTTCAGCAAACTGTGATATGCAGAGAATATGAGAATTGCAAACTCGATCTATAAGAAAAAAATAACAATTTTCATATGGCTTTCAGTTGACTTGGTAGCTAAGAAGCCACATCATCATTTTAGAGTGCTGAAGCAAAATAAGCCTCTTTCATCCTGAACGTATAGAGGCATGCCTTAAAACAGTTCATTGAAATCACAATTAGTTTATAGTATAGCTCCTTGTAGCAATTCCAATATTTTCACCCAAAACAAGTATTGCAAATTTGTAAATAACATTTGCATCAAGAATTATCTGGAGCCTTAAACTTTACCAGTTTTAGAGTTTGATCGAAGCACAACTAAACAGCATAACCACGCTTCAATTTAGAAGCAAAGTTAGAGTCTTCATATGGCCATTCCCAGAGTGAATTAATAGGCAATATTTTCCAGTGAACTTTTTATCCATTACATGGAATTTAAACAATTTGCAGACCCACTTCGACCATTAGACGCTAATAAACTTTGGTAACAGCAAAAATGTTAAAAGAAGGCTCAAAAAGTATTATTATGGCCATCATTACATAGCAAGAATAAGCGCAATAAGGGATAATAATTTTTTATATTATCAATTACTTCAGCTTTACTTTTGACATACAGCCTTGTGTGGAATAAATAAGAGGAATGTGCATAAGAGATTCAGATTTAAAAAAAAACTGTAAGTTCCAGGATTTGATTACCTGGACAAATATTTTAAGAACTATTTGATATGTCACAGCAGAAGGTTCGGGGCCTGAAGATTGCATTCTACGAAATATAGCTTCTGCTTTATTATATTGGCCTCCTTTTCCATATGCTTCCATAAGAGCAGTATAGGATATTACATTTGGTGGATACCCCTTTTTGTTCATGAGGTTTAAAACCCTCTCAGCTTTGTTGAAGTCTCCTTGCTTTCCATAAGCCGTTATAAGCATCAGAAAATCCATCTCCTTAAAATCCCACCAATGCTGAGTCCGAAGCCATTCCAGAATCTGGAGTATAAATGAATTGCAAAACTTCAATGCATAAATAAGGTATTAATATGAACAACAAAAAGGCAATAGGCTCATAGCAATTACATATTCAATCCAAGTCCTCTCGGGAATACCATGCAGATAACTTTATTCAACTCTAGATAAAGAAACAAATGATAATATTTATACTAAACATTATAGCTTCAACATTCGAGATTAGATAACTAAGGAGCTTTTGAGTTCTAGGTATTGTTTTTGATCCATTAGAATTTATCCGCAACATTGGAGATTA